CCATGGCCAATCGATATCGCCAACGTTTTGAATTAAATACGCTCGATTTGTGACGAATAAATCGGATACGTCAGAGTCAACCTTTTTTGAAACATATTTTCTATTTTTGCAAACTACATTTTAAACAGGTCGAACAGTGTGTTTATAAACTAAGGGATCAGTTAGATAAAAAAGCTAAATTGTTAATTCGTAACAAACTAAAATAAAATCCATTGCAGTTCGTGGTCCGATTGAATATTAACATTTTTCAATTAATTAATATTTATGAATGGTATTGGTTAAGACAAAAAAAGTCAGTGTTACAAGCGGGATTCGAACCTAGCGTATTTAGCCGAAGGTCGTGGGTTCGAATCCCGCTCGTGTCACTGACTTTTTTATCTTAACCAATTCCTTTCATAAATATTAATTAACTAAAATAAAATGTCGATTTAATTTATCAAAAGTATGCCGTGGTACATTGTAATTAGGTAGGTGTGATTTCTGCCTGGAATTTCTGTAGTAATCCATTGCGGCTACAGTGTCATTAGGAAATAATTATATTATAGCTAGATTTTTAGTTATGTTTGTAGTGCGCATGCAAAAATTTTTATCTAGGCGTGGGGATTGTTTTATTTTATAGTTTTATGTCTTTCATCATACTCACTTTGGTTTGGAGCACATAGTACGACAAGGAAAAATCATCAATTTGCATCTTCAATCAAAAATCCTCGGGTGGTTTTATTTTAACTTTTTTATTTTATTTTAACTTTACTTTTTTATAATCGGAGCACCAATCTTTTCTGAATCACAGTCAGTTATAAGCCAACAGTTAAATCTGATTACAATTTCATGTAATACTAACTACTAAAGTACAGATCGTGCCTTACGTTATTGAAATCTATAAAAAGCCTTTCGTGGGACATTGCTGAACTTCTGAATACCAATTAGACAAAGCTACCGGTGCCGTCACAAGCATGACTCAGTTTTGACGTGTTTTGCCCAGCTTCGATTTTCTCCCTACCCCGTTCACCCTTCACATTTTTCCAGGGCCGTTCTATTTGAACCGTTTGATAAATTAAGATTAAAATCCTATTCGTGTTTATTTGGGGCGATTCCTTTAATATAAATGTCTAGAAATCAGGTTCAAAGACAATGTAATCAGCAGCCTGTTCATTTGAATATAATCTAGCAACGCCCCTTAAGATGGTTCATTTAGAAGGAAATGTTTTGTAATTAATTATATATTTGTACAGATATATATTTTTTAAGTTTAGCCTTATTTGTTTTCCAGTCGCTTTAATAAAAATAAATTAGCTTACAGAAAAATTTGGTTGGAAGTTGACGATTGGGGGTTAATCTCTTTTTTTTAATTGTCGTTTTATATAGTTTATTCAAGACCAACGATAACTATTCTGAAAATCTCTCTGGCCGTTTTTATTTTCGTAAATATTTACAACTCAAACGCGCTTCTTCAGATTAAAATTGTGATGATCAATCCAGAGAAAAAAAAATCCTTATTGAAAAAATTTTTTTGCGTCCTTTTGATTTACAAAATATTATTTGACGCCATTGAAGACATCAAGTCATAGAGAGCATAATGAGCAAATATTTTATTTATTTTCCAAATCGGCATTTTCTTTTCTTCGATGATAATTCTATTTTCTTAACTTTTACAATCTTACACTTGTATTAAAAAAAAAAAAAAAAATCATAGTACTCATACATGATAAAATAAATAATAAAATTTACTCAAGCTTTTGATGCAACATTTTTTTTTCCAGCCGAAGTCTTTCATATGGCTAGGGATAGGGATAAAAGAGGTGGCCACAAGGCCTACTGCACCACGACCTGAATAGATTGTGCTCCCCTGTTATTTAATACTCACTGGCCAGCTTCAGGTTGTTAATCAGCCTCCACAGCTATACCAGCGGCTCCTTAGTGTAGGATCTTGCTTGTGGTTTTTCTTGTTCTAGTTGCAAGAACCTGGGACCTACTAGACCTTCACAGGAACATAGAATCTGTTCTGCAGTCTCCTCCTCTTCCTGGCAGTATCTGCAGTGTTTCTCCTGTCTGAACTTCTTTCTGGTACATGTGCTTTCTTAAGTGGTAGTGACCTGTCAAAAATCCAGCCAGAATCCTGGTGCGATTGCGGTTGACTTCCAGTAATTCCTTTGTAAGTTTTGTGGGTAGCTCTTCTATGAATCTCTTCGCCTCATGCCTGTGGTGTTGTTCCACCAGGCTTTGGACTCATGAAGGATCTATTTTAAGATGTATCCTCTTTTGTGGCAGGATGCTAGGCCACAGTAGCGTTCAGGACCCAGAGAGTCCATGTTGGCTCCCTCTTTGGTCTACGTATCAACCTTTTCGTTGCCTCTATGCCAGGAACCTGTGTCAGTGTCAGGTTATTAGTGTCGCTGACTTCCACCTAGTCAGTCCCATGCAGTTCCAATCCAAAGGCCTTCACCTCTACTTTCACGCATGCACACAGTATATACATTTCTATATGTGAGGAAACACCCCCGTTTCTTAAGAAAAGTAACAGGGCACACAACAATTTACTTTATGCCAAATCTTTATGTCAGGGGTTATGTCTACTCGCTCCCTGTAAGGGGCCAAAGCATGGTACTCATCGATTAGATGTGACACTACAAACAAGTCACCTGAGTGGGTTTTTACCCAAAAGGAAGTGTCTGTGTGACAAACATGGCCGATTCTCAATTTGGTTAACAGGATCCTTTCCTATCGTTTCAGACTCTCGGAGGGTCATTATTCAGTCATATTCTTGACCCATAAAACAATTCTTTTTCTTTAAAATCTTATTAAATTATTTTTGTACATTTATGACTAAAAAAATATTAAGTAACATGTATTACATTTGATAAAGACTACAGCATGATCTCACAACCCTCTGGGGAAAATAATTTCTCTCAAGAACCCTGCAAGACCAGTGAACAGAATTAATTTGTAGCTTAACAAACAATAAAGATTAATCATTCATAGTCCTTCAGGTTTTGAATAAATTTCTTAATTCCAATACCACTTTCAAAATATCCCAACTAAGGTTTTATTTGTCTCATGCATCCAATTAGTTGTGGCTTCGAAAGAATTGAAAAAACTGAAGAAAATGTGAAAAAAAAAATTCGTTTGTAATTTTTGATGGTATCAGGTGAAATTGAAATATCTTGATTTGATTGTTGTAGTCCTTCTAGAGCTATTGCATTTGTACTTTGTACCCAGCCAAACTCAGATAGACCAGGGTGGTCAGAGACCCTCCAGTTATAACGTTTTGTCAAACCTGATGCAGCCTTTGGTCAATGTCTTGAAACATAAAAAATACTAAAATTGTGGAAAAATAACTGACTGAATGTACAGTAAAACAATGTTTCAAAGCATTCAGCCTATGCCAGCTTGTTTCACACCCCCAAGGCAAAACTGAATAAGTTCAATTTTGGTAAAATGAGATAAGTGCATATTCCAGTGTCTTTAGTCCTGACAGACTGTGTATAATTTTTAAAGTCGAGAAGGAAACAATTTTTTTTTAAACACAATGTGTCTTTTTAGACAACTTGAATAACACCTAATGAATATTTGTCTAGGTTCAACAAAGAGATGTTTTTACTTACTTGCATTAGCATTCATTGATAACAAGTGATTTATTGCAGTTATCCCACCAGTAAAATATAGTATTTTCAATACAATTTAACTAAGCCCATTTTTACCCACCTTGTTACAGATGGTAATATGAGTACCAAAAAGTCAAGATAAAATCAAATTTTAAAAAACCTATTTAATAGGACAATTGAATTTGATGAAATGTAAGAACAACAAGAAAAAAATTATTACAAAAATTGATTTTTAACAAAGGTCTAAACTTAGGTATGGTTAGGTCTAAATTTTAAAATCACAATCCTGAAAAGCTGTTTTTGGACATCCATTTTTGCCTTGAGGGTGCAGATACGGTGGCTTTGTATTCTTTCAACATCCTTAAGCTTATAAGTTGCTCGTAGATTTTTTCCACTAATAATGTTTGATGGCTGCTTAAGTACCTGCAGTAATAACGATTAATTGAGTGAGTGTATTTATTAGAGTGAATGGGGAAGGGCTGATGGTGAAATAGCATCCCCCTTGAGATGTCACGTGACTTGAGTCGATGGTGGAGTATTTCTAAAAGTACCCCCATCGACCCCAATTAGATTAGTTTCTTGTATGCAGGTTGATGGAAAAATACCGAGTACTCCCATCTATCACTAGAACGAATGCAATGTATGTAGGTGTGAATGTATTTATTTGTGTGTTAATATATTTCGTATGTGCTCAGGCTGAAATGACCAAGCTCTTGGATGCCCCTAAAAAATAATAATAAATAAAAATTAAACTTACACAAGTAGTTACAAGTTAGAAGAAACTTTGATCCCTCACAAATAACCACTATGACTGTATAGCAGCTGTACACATAGCTGTACATATGTATGCATGATATGTAGGTATAAGCAATATTTTTTACTATAAAACTTATTCAAAGATTTAAAAAAAAGTTTTGTATAAGTCAATCTTTGCTGTCTTATGACAATTCGATTTACTTTGTTCAAAAATGAATTTTCTTTTGCTTTTAACAGGCTCCAGGCAAATTTGGTAGATGTATTTTATTTGTAGTACAATTATCTAATTTTCAGTCATTCATTCCTTTAAGAATTGGCTCAAAGATGAGGACATGGTTGTATTATAGGTTTTTAAATTTGTTTAAAAAATCATACAAATATCACACCAGCTTTTATTAACAATTCTATAAACAAATAATTGATTTATTAAGCACGTTCATATAAAAACTTGAATTCCAAATAACAATTCTAATAAAATAGATAATAAATAAATAAATACAACTCTAAACCCAAGTGGAATTTGTATGATATAAGTAAATTCTTATTAATCAGCAGAATATTAATTAATAATATGTGCAATATATGGGTGCAAGAAAGACAATTTTTTAAGAGTATCTCATTAATTAATAAATATTGTCAAACTAATTGTCATCACACTTTATTTGTTCTTTGGTTCAGAATTTGGGTGACGGCGTTCTCTAACTGAAAAAGGTGTGAGTCATTGAAGCCGGGTGCGAGGTTCCTTGTTGCTTTAGCCAGATTGAAAAGGTACTCGGCATTGGTCCCACTAGGGCCTTCAGACTCGGCTATCTGATGTGCGATCTCTCCTATCTCTGCCTCGCCGAGATACCATTCGTTCCCAGTGTCGCCGACATAGATGACCAGCTCGAATGGCCGACCGGCGAGCTCTTCGGAAGGTCCTGGATAGAACATGACCATTTTTTTGTCGTAGCCACTCTTTTCTCTGTAGTCCAGGTGGTTAACAACCTTCGGGACGTCTTCCTTGTGTATTTCATAGGCAACACCCCATATCACAGCCTGAAATTTTATATTTCGAATAAATCAGAATACTTTTATGGATTAATAATTTTTTTATTAATCACCTCTGGATCTTTTGAAGGCAAAATTGTAACCACACGCCCAGGCTGGAAAAGAAACAAAACATTCAGTTAAAACCTAAAGGCACTAAATTTTCTTTATTTGTATTAGAACTAGTTTCTAGGTGATTAAATGTTTGTACATCCTTGATACATGTTTCTTCAGATGGCACAACACTGACAACTATCTTAAGATTGTTCTTGTTTGATTAAGTAATAAATAAGCAAGTTTTAATAAATGCTAGCCTAATAATCCTATTTATTATCAAATATTTTAATAGATTATTTCAAGATGACTATTAAAATAATTGTAATGTCTTCACATCCCCCTCTAGAAGTTAATGTAATCACTTTGATCTTCTACTACCCCTTCTCGAAAGATCCGTTTTAACTCACAGTACCATGTTTCTAATTCTAAATTGTTCGATATGTTGACTTCTTATGAGAGGTGTAGTATAAAGTTAGGGAAAACTGCTTGAAATAAAAACATCCTTATTCGAATTGAGAGAAATGAACTAGCTTGCGCTCTTTGCATGTGAAGGAGATGTCAACTTAATAAATGCTGATGTAATCTATCGAGCTGTGTATCAAGACCCCTCTTCTACTAAAGATCCCCTCGGGACTCTGAACTAGATACATACTTCAATAGAATCTTGGTTTGAATATGTAAAAGTAACTGGCGCACACTCTACACAGGAATTCACATGGAAGCGTGTCACCTAGTACTATGAGTTGATTAAAAAACTTTTATAAATTTTAGCGTTACAACCAACGAAATAGGTCTTATAAAAAATTGAAGAAAACGGTTTTTACATAAAGTTGAAGTTAAAAAATAATGTGAATTCCTGTGTAGAGTCTCTTCAATTGATGGACCATTGAGGTAAACAAATTTAAGAAAATTATATTCTCTAATCAACTTTGCAGGTGTCCTACCGACTGTGCCAGTTACTTTTACATATTCAAACCAAGAGTTCTATTGAAGTATGTATATAGTTCGGAGTCCTGAGTGAATCAGCAGTAGAAGAAGGGTCTTGACGCTTAGCTTGATAGTTTACAACAGCATTTATTAACATTTACTCTAGGAATAATGACAATATATTTTAAGTTCTGTATCCCCTGTCTGGTATAATAAAATATTGTAACTTGATTGTTTTTGACAATGAAATTGTATTGCTTGATCTTCCGTGGCCACCTTGGTCAGTCAGACTTTCTTGGGCTTTTTGACTGTCAGATTATGTCAAACTATATTTTTCATGTTCCTTTAACTGAGCTATGGAAGGAATACACCCTTATCAACTGTTGCAAGTAATACCTAAGGAATTAAAACTGGTCTATTTTAAGTTCCATATACCCATCAGGTATAAAAAATATTGTAGCTTGATTGTCCCTGGTCAGGGTAGGGATGGGATAAAAGAGGCGGCCACAAGGCCTACTGCACCTTGACCTGACTAGATCTATTATGCTTCCCTGTTATTTATAACTCACTGGCCAGCTTCAGGTTATTAATCAGCCTCCACAGCTTTGCCAACAGCTCCTTAGTGTAGGATCTTGCTTGTGGTTTTTCTTGCCCTAGTTGCAAGAGCTTGCACTTACACAGACCTTCACAGAAACATAGAACGTGTTCTGCAGTTCTTCCTCTTCCTGGCAGTATCTGCACAGTGTTTCTTCTGTCTGTACTCCTATCTGGTGCATGTGCTTTTTTTTAAGTGACAGTGCTCTGTATCCTGGGGTTCATTGCACTTGCCTTCCAGTAATTCTTTTGGAAGTTTTGCAGAAGGTCTTTCTATGAATTTCTTTGCGTGCCACATATCTGTGATATTGTTCCACCAGGTTTTGGACTCATTAAGGATCCATTTTAAAATGTACCCTCTTTTGTGGCAGGCTGCTAAGCCACAGTAGGGTTCAGGGCCCAGAGTCCATGTTGGCCCCATGTTTGGCCAACCTTTTTGTTGCCCAGGGACCCAAGCCAGGGTCAGGGCATTAGTGTCGCTTACTTCTGTCAGGGCCTCCATGCAGTTCCACACACTCTTTGACTTCGCCTCGCATGCTAGAGCCCTAAGGGCTACCTTCTGGGAATGTATTCCTAGCCTTTTTATTTCTCTGGTGCATTGTTCAATCACTATGATTTCAAACTTGATAACTGAAGCATATTTACTATCATTAGGTTTACTATCAGTTCAGTCTTTGTGTTCAACTTGAAGACTCCAGCTCCTGTACCCTTGTTGGTTGGTAGTCAGTATACCAGTAAGAGTTTCCCTTTAGCGGTATTCCTTTGGCCCATTCTTCCTGTTCTGGTATCAGTACTTTGGAGTAGTGGCATCAATTGGCATGCCATTGTATCTCCTCCCTCACTTTCCATTGTTTATTTACATGGCCTATCCTTTCAGAAGGTTGTCCATTTATGATCCTGTGGGCTGCTGCTCTGGCTTCTCCTTGGATTAAAATATGAAGTGATGGTAGGTTTAATAACACTACCAGGGCCGCAGTAGGCATTGTTCTCTGGCACCAGTGACAATGAGACAAGCATGTCTTTGGGTGCCATCATCCCTAGTCATCTTGGGCTGTAAAAATTTTGCTCGTTTTCGATTGTCAGATTATGGGCGAAGCAAATTGCATTTTTTATTTATTCCTTTAACAGATTTATGAAAGGAATATACCCTTTTCAACTGTTGCAAGTAATTCCGAGGGAATTAAGACCAGTGTATTTTAAGTTCTTAAGATGTTCCAGGTATAAAGCATGTAGCTTGATTGTCCCTGGCCATCTTGGTCTGTCAAATTTTCTCTCGCTTTTTGACAGTCCAATTATGGGCAGACTAAACTATATTTTTCATGTTCGTTTAACTGAGCTATGGAAGGAATACACTCTTATTAACTGTTGCAAATAATTCCTAAGGAATTAAAACTAGTGTATTTTAAGTTCCGAATACCCATTAGGTGTAAAAAAATATTGTAGCTTGATCATCCCTGGCCATCGTTGGGTCAGAATTTCTCTCGCTCTTTGACTGTCAGATTATGGGCGGACCAAACTACATTTTTCATGTTCCTTTAACTGAGCTATGGAAGGAACACACCCTTATCAACTGTTGGAAATAAGTCATAAAGAATTAAGATCAGTGTTTTAAGTTCCTCGAGGTGTCTAGGTATAAAAAAAAAAGTTGTAGCTTAAAAGTCCCTGGTCATTTTGGTCTGTCAGATTTTCTCTGGCTTTTTGACTGACAGATGACCAAGCACTTCTCAACTATTACTAAATACGAAATTTTAAATATATTCTCACGGCTTACCTTGCCGGGAACTCCTCTGTGGTCCGTGCTAGCCTGGTAAAACCGTCTAACGTAGCCTTTGATGTAGCCGACGACTTTTCTTTTGAACGGAAAATCCGCTTTCCAAATGAGCGACCCGTAGCCGAAAAGCCACATCTCCTAACGAGGTGCAAAAAAGACACCCACTTTGTAAAATGAAATTTAAATATTTTTAACCAAGTTTCAACTTTTCATTAAATTGTGATGATGTTATTGATGGTTTAGGAAAAAAAAATTATATAAAAAAAATAATATTAAAAAAACAGAAGGGGGAACAAAAAAGAGGCCGACTGGCCGTCGAGGCCGAACCTCTCTCCCTCTGTGTGATGTTTGTATTTTGAAACCTATCAAAAGGTTTCTGATAACAGAATCAGCTGGGCTTTATTTACTTTTTGAGTTTTCGATATTTTGACAAAGACGACTTTTGGAAATTTTATTTATTTATTTATTTTTTTTAGCCAGGAAATTTACTTAAAATGCGTCAATCATGGATGTTAAGTTTGCCAGGAAAAAATCCAAAAATTGTGCATGTTTCAAAAAGACCTGTTTTTAAACTTCCCCGGCAAAAAGCCTCCATTAGGTGCCTTGAAACTTTATTCAACGAAATAAAAACGAGAAAAACTGAGAATAATTGTTCAAAACAGGGAATATTCGAACAAAATAAATTGTACGTTATCTTATGAAAAATGGGAGTGCAGTATTGTAAACAAAAACTGAAAGAAACGTTTTGTCAAATACAGTCATCCATGATATATAATAATAATTAGGTTTAAACATATAATTATTTTTATTATGTAATGAGTTTCAAACTTTTTTCTTAAAAACTTGATTTTCTTTATATTGGACTTATGTATCCAGGCATACCATTTTTTTAGGAATCCCGGTGTAATCCTCCTGTTAAGGGTTGGCCAAAGTGAAAGTCTTTCTTCGACTTTCTCCCTTGGGCATTTATTGAACGCCTCGCCTTTGAATTGACAAACTTTAATCCTCTTGTCGAGTTATAAGTTGATGTCATGTTTGTCAAACATGAGTTTGAAAGTTATAAGTTACCTTCCTTCTCGAAATACCGAAGAGGGGAGAGCATTGGCGGGAAGCGATAATGCATTGACCAAGGCCGATTTCCTTTGGCTTTTGAGTTTTGTTCTTTTGTTTTATGTTTTTTTATTTATAATTTCTGTTTTTCATCGATATGGGCATCCAGGGCCTTTTGCCGTTTCTGAAGCCGGCTACCCGACCGGTACACGTGAAAGAGTTTTCCGGATGCACTGTGGCGATAGATTCCTACTGTTGGCTCCACAAAGGGGCCTTCTCGTGTGCTGAAAAACTCGCAAGGGGAGAATCAACAGACCAGTTAGTATACTTCTGTGTACACTTTAAACTCTTCCAGTGTATATTAGAATCATGACTTTATTAAAATCGCACTGGGATGTTTTATTTTCTACAACATAACACAATTTTCATGAGACTTGACACAACTAATCACTTATAGTACCCTAAAATGCATCCATTCATTCAAACTCTTTCACCCCTAACTATATCATCTACGTTGAGACCTCAGTTGAACTTTTGTTTCAATTTACATTAAATTTACACACTTCCTATGTCTGCAAGGTCCTAAACCTTCCCAGGAATACTGCGCTGGAAATCATAAAGTCCAAAATATCACGGTTCTCTTCATGGAATACCTTGGCTCAACAATTTCAGCTCGATGAAAATTTTTCCCTGGACAATTATAAAGAGACTTTTACAATCGAAATTGATCAAACATATCCACACCTCTCATGAAATGTCTCCTTCATACACAAAATTCCTCTAGGTTTTTGCTGTATAAGGATCTTAATATCGATCAACTTTTCTTGAACATAGCGCAAACTAAAATTCCATCCATTCCGCTAGCTCGCTGGTTTTTCAAATTTAAGTGCGAGTTACTTTACCTTAATTATAATCCCACAAGTGTCAAAAGTTCCGATAAACGCTCTCTCTGCAACAGGCAGGTGTGAGAAGATTGTTTTCACTTTTTAGCTGAATTCCCAGTTTTGGCAGAATTTCGAGTACGGCATGTAAGAATTTTTTGCCCATGTTGACAAGAAAGCACCTAATCTCTTTATAAAATAACCCCCAGTGCTTAAATTTGGTAAAGTTTGCAATGCAAGCGTTGAACTACAGGAAAGTAGTTTTTTATTTTGATTATTAAATTTTTATTAGCGTGAATTTCAGCTTGAAAGATCGAGGTGTACTTACCTGATGAGTTTTGTGGCTCATGTTTCGGGCTTGTACAAAAAATGCATAATCAGGATATTTCATGTGTTTTGAAAGAAAATGAAGGAATAGATTAGAAACACTAACAAGATAGTAAAACTACCAACAAAGTATGACGGATCCACTTGTCAGTGTGTTATTTGCCAATTATGCATTGTTTTATTTGTTTGTACACATCCTCCACTGATGATGGCGAATCACCAAACGAATCTGACAAACCATGGCGAAACTAGAGAGACTAGGAAGATTGTGAAAGACTACTACATCTTGCCCCTTTTATGTGTAATTCCTTGTTTTACCATCTGATTTTCAAAATTGTAATAATTTACAGTTTTTAATATAACCATTATCAATGAGAATTTGAGAAAAACATTGACAGTACAAAATTTTTAAAAGAAACAATATGGTGGACATCTTGGTTATTTATATGTGCATAAGTATATGTAAATATACATAGATATGTTATTATTTTATTTTATTTATATAGGTTTTTCTCTTTTGTTTATTCCTTGAGAAAAAATTTTTAGTCCTGTTTTGTTGTTTATTAAAAATTTATAGTCCAACTCTGGCAGATGGTTGATCACCATTGCCGTTATGTGCTCTTTTGTTATGTGCAATTTTTTTTCTCTTTTGTTTAACCAATAAAGTAAGCTTGGGTCCCTGGGCAACAAAAAGGTTGGCCAAACATGGGGCCAACATGGACTCTGGGCCCTGAACCCTACTGTGGCTTAGCAGCCTGCCACAAAGAGGGTACATTTTAAAATGGATCCTTAATGAGTCCAAAACCTGGTGGAACAATATCACAGATATGTGGCACGCAAAGAAATTCATAGAAAGACCTTCTGCAAAACTTCCAAAAGAATTACTGGAAGGCAAGTGCAATGAACCCCAGGATACAGAGCACTGCCACGTAAAAAAAAGCACATGCACCAGATAGGAGTACAGACAGAAGAAACACCGTGCAGATACTGCCAGGAAGAAGAGGAGACCGCAGAACACATTATATGTTTCTGTGAATGTCTATGTAGGTGCAGGTTCTTGCAACTAGGACAAGAAAAATCACAAGCAAGATCCTACACTAAGGAGCTGTTGGCAAAGCTGTGGAGGCTGATTAATAACCTGAAGCTGACCAGTGAGTTATAAATACTGGGGATCACAATAGATCTATTCATGTCGAGGTGCAGTAGCCCTTGTGGCCACCTCTTTTAACCCTATCCCCTAAACATTGTTTAAGTGTACACAGTATAGAAATTTTAGGTTTAATCAAAGTATTTAAATTTTTTTCAGGTATGTCGTTTATTGCATGAAATTTATTAAAATGCTTCAATCTCATGACATCACACCTATACTTGTATTTGATGGCCGGCACTTGCCTGCGAAAGCTGAAACGGAAAAAACCAGACGACAGTAATATAATTTATCATTTCTTACAGTCAAAATATCCTCGTACACCCTTCTAATTTTTTTTTCCTTTTAATTCTTCAGGCGCAGGGAAATGAACAGAAGGAAAGCCGCCGAGTTGTTGAGACAGGACCGAGCAAATGAGGCAAGGAGTTTGATTCAACGATGCGTGGACGTGACTCCAGAAATGGCCTCAAACCTCATCAAAAAATGTAGGTCTGTTGGAGTAGATTGCATCGTGGCACCGTATGAAGCCGATGCTCAACTTGCTTTCCTAAGCCTCAATGGTATCGCACATGTCGTTATTACTGAAGACTCAGACTTAATTATATTTGGTTGTAAACGGGTATATATATATATTTTTTTTTTATTAGACAGTTTTCCTTTCTTTAGTAATTAAAATAGCGTTTTGTAGGTAATTTTTAAAATGGACTTGGTAGGCAATGGATTGTTAGTGGAACAAGAAAAAATTCCATTGGCGATGAAACAGAGGCCAGAACAATTTACAATAGATAAATTTCGACACATGTGCATTCTTTCTGGCTGTGATTACCTCCAATCCCTCCCTGGTATCGGCCTTCAAAAAGCCCTTAAATTTATCAAAAGAACTGCCGAAACTGATATAAGTAAAGTAATATTTGTTGTTTGTTTAACAGAGAAAAAAATGTTTTAGCAACAAATTCTTATTGTTGTTTACATTTTTAGGCGTTGACAAGGCTAGGTGCCCATCTAAACATGTCTAGTCTGGTCGTGACTCCAGACTATTGCGAAAAATTCCTCCAGGCAGAACTCATGTTCAAACACCAGCCTGTTTTCGATCCAATATCCAGGAAGGTCGTACCATTGACTCCTATACCAGAGGGGATGAGTGCCCCACTGTCGAATAATCTATCGGACGAGACCAACTACCAACTCGCTCTGGGAAATCTGGATCCATTCAGTCTTAATCAGATAGATAATTGGGATCCTGACAAACAAACTGTAAGTTTTATTACTTTTTATATATATATAAATACTTGAAAATTTTAAATTTTAAGAAACTATTATTAAATGAACATATTGATTGAAACTCTGCCACTCTTAACTCTGCAATCGTAAATTAACAAAGTCTACATTTTGCATTATGAGGCTTATGAGAAATTATATTTAATCAATTCCATAGGGAGTGAAAACAAATAGTTGGCAAGCTTCTACAGTCATAAAAAATAGTGTATGGTCGAGTGGTTTTCACATTCCAAAGCCACTTTCTCCAAGAAAGGATCCAAGAGAAGTAAAAAGGACGACGACACAGGGTAACTGTGTAGAACAGAATGTTGACGTAATAATTAACAAAATTTCTGTGTTCAATCAAAAAAGTAAAGCTAATATTTGTTTTTGTCGTATTTTTTTCTGCTTACTTTTTAACTTGGTAAATCTTTAGGTGCAGAAGATCAAGTTAATGAACTCAAGGAATTATACACCAGATCGCCCCCAAAGAAAAAATCCTGTCTGGACGTTCATCTGGAAGAGGAAAGAAACGATTTGAACACCACGATGATAGAAGATACTGAAGAAAGCCTTGATGAAGCGATTGCATCTACTCTGGATATTATAAGCCCATCTCCTGAGAGAAAAAAGGTGAACCCATTTTCAAAGACTCCAAATGGCAAGGTTAAATCAAAACCATCGCCCTGTCATAGTGGTCTTGAAGGAATGGCTAGGAAAGTTAAAAGAACTATATTGGACGAGAGCACTGTCATTCGGAGCAGGTAAACCACTCAAGTATTTATTGCTATATTGTCTACTATTGTTCAATTGTTTTTTAAACATCTTTGTATATTGTGAGGTCTGAGAATTGATGAGGTTCATAATTCTGTTTGTCAGATTTTGGCATTTCGCCATTTTTAGTGGTTGGCCTGTGTTTTGTAAGCTAACACTAGCATAAAGTAAACAAGAAAAAGAAAAATAAGGCTCTCATTTCAGGTTTTTTGCAACAAATCCAGATCCTCCCACTGACTCAGAGGTTACAAAACCAGAAGAAAAAGAAGAGGATTTTGATATTCTTGCGATGATATTGGACGATAATGGGCCAGAAGAAAAAAAAGAGAAAAAAGAGAATGAACGAAAAAACGTATTTTCGACTGTGAAACAGTCACCAAGCAATAATCTCTATAATAATTTCAGCGTCAAAAGTGATCGCCCGAGCTTTTTAAAAGTCATAGACTCTATGAGTAAGTTTATTACAGAGCAGGAAGAAACTAAGCCAAAACCGTCGCCTAAATTTAACGATAAAAGGCGGCAAAGTTCGATGTCAGGCTTTGTGACATCAGGGCTTGAGGCTAAAAATGTAAAATTAACTTCCCCTAAGGTGAGAATTTTGTATTTTCTTACGGTGATTTAAATTATCAAGATATTCTTTTTCAAGAAGGTTGTAAAAAGTGAAGGACAAAGACTGAAACCTACCCTCCAACCTGCAAGAGGAGTCGGACTTAAAAGGAAAAAATCCACTGTACAGTCAGATCAAAAGTCAATACTTACAATGTTTGCATTTCAACCAAGGTAATTATTATTATTATTTATAGTTTCATAAATTTCTTAGTATGATTTTAAAACAGGAGCAAATTGAACGAGGTTTGACATTGAATGAGCATATCTAAAATTATCTACCTCAGAATAGAAAAGCAAGAGATGAAGTTTAATCATTTACGACTACTCAAAACTGCAGTTTACTTCATTGTGATTTTATATATAGTTTAAAATAATTTTTTAATCGTTTTGTAAATAAACTTAGAGATGGTAATAATTTAATATAATGAACATAATAATAATTAATATAAAATCTAATATAACTTGTTCCTTTGTACACATTTTCAAAATCCATTTGTTGTTTAGGAAATTTTTTGTTTTGTGTATATTACAAAATTGTCAAGAGAAAGACTGATGAAGAAATGTTAAAAAAATGTAATTACCTCTTTTTATATATTTGTACTGGGTGAATAAACTGTTTTTGTATTTAATTAATTTTTGTAAATTTTATATTGCACATACTCTTAATAAAAGTACATGTTTTTATGTATAATTTACAATAAAAACTAAAATCCATTTTTTAGTGGTGATTAGGAATCTGTAAAAAGGACATGCACATTTGAAAAACGCACAGACTTTTTTTTGGCTAGCTGGCTAATGGTTACCTATATCATTGATGGCACCTCACGTCTTTTCCACCTCGCATTTAGCAGTAAAAGCGATTATTTCTTGGTGATTCTATTATTTCTGATGAAATTTGTATAACCAACATCAGTTGGTGTTTACATATTATCTCTAATATTTAGCCCTTCTATACGTGATGATTAGATTTTACAACAGATTTAAAAGAAACACGTTCTACTATATTCCTAACTTAAATTATGAGAACTCATGGTACTCAATATTCCACTGAGTTCCCATCCTCATTCGTGCTAATAAGTACCTTCATACAAAACATAACCTTTCAAACAATATATATAATAGGTATAAACATAATAGGTTAGCTTAATTGACTAATCTTTGATGGGCCTGTGAGATAAACTACATTCTGCCACAAACCTTATATTCACTTATATTCAAACACACACTAATAAATACATTCATACAAAAAACTTTCAAACAATATGTACAGTTAAAAAGAAATGGTAAGCCATTATGTCAGTACTTCAACCACTCAATAAACATGTAACAACTAACCTTTTAGTGGGTCTGTACTCTGTGGAGTACTCTATATTCTGTTATAACCACGCCCACTCAAGCTAATAAATTTATTCAACAATGAATAACCATTCGTGAATACAAACCCTATTAATATAATGTGGATAGTTTTATGGAAAGCAATCTAAATTGGCCATTGCCAGCCATATTTTTTCTTTTACTTTATTTTTCTTTTCTTTCCTGCATTTTATTACTTCTAATTCATTCTTCTGACACTGTAGCAAGTTGTATTGGTGTCAGTTAGGCTTTGGGTGTTAAGATAACTAATGCCCTCATTTCTCTTTCCTGTTGCCAGCTAATCTACCTCAGGACCTTACAAAGATAAAAATATTCATATAATAACTGAACAAACTTTACACATATAATAAAAATAAATAAATTAAAAAACACTAGTCTGGTTAGCATTCATATCCCTGAGTTTTCGGTGGACTATTGAGTACCCCACCGACCCTCTATTAGAGTAGTTATTTCATATATGTAGAAGGTGATGGATTTCAAGTACGCCACCACCCTAATTAAGTGAATGATATGAAAATAGGAAGAAAGAATGTTTTTGAGAGGGTGAATTGGTTTCAATTTAGAAAGTGATTGCGTTGAGAGTTGAAATGACCTAGCTGTTGATATTACCTGCAGCTCAGCTTTGGTGGCTGAACGGATAAGACCGAAGTATGACCCCAGACTGCCATTATTCGGTGGATGATTCCCGAGGGCTGCAGATAATTTATTATAAATTACAACAGCTGGAATTGCAAGTGGATTGCAAGAAGTGATACGCTCAACTCTATACACATGTGTATTTGTTTACATGCCTGTGTAGATTTGAGCTAATTAATTAAACCAGTAATCAATGAACTGACATTTATTGCAGCATACACTTTAAATTTTAGTAGGTGCATGTTTCATATTAGTGTGTGGTGGTTAGTGACCATTAATCGACAATTATTCAGAAATTGTGAGATGCGGTCTGGTGTGATGTAGGTTTCAGAAAAACATTTTCTTTATCTTGCCAACGTTTCGATCTTTATTGAGATCATCTTCAGGGCCTGGGATTTACAAAAATTGTTTACATTTAACAAATACATGTAGGATGTGGAAAAAAGTGAATTTATACAATGCAAAATATATTTTTATATTCAATCAAAGTATTTCTACTCACTCAAAGCGTTTTATGTTCAATACGCATTAATTACTTAATGTATGAGTGCCACAATTACAAAGAAGACAAACACTTTGAGTGAATAGAAATACTTTGATTGAATATAAAAAATATATTTTGCATTGTATAAATTCACTTTTTTACACATCCTACATGTATTTGTTAAATGTAAACAATGTTTGTAAATCCCAGGACCTGAAGATGATCTCAATAAAGATCGAAACGTTGGCACGATAAAGAAAATGTTTTTCTGAAACCTACATCACACCAGACCGCATCTCTCGATTTCTAAATAATTTTCATATTAGTGTTTTTGATTTGTATTTTATAACCAGCAATCAAATTTTTAAATCCCAATGCTGCATCACTATAAATTTGTATAAATTACCGTTTAACTTTTAAGTTAAAGTTTAAGTTTTTAAAGGTGAAATTTAAAATATTCAGAAACTTGTAGCTTACATAAAGATCCTTATTTTTAAAAAAAACTTTTTATTACTTGTTAGAGATACAATTGTAAAATACCCTGTGATGTGTGAAAAAAAATAAAGCCTTAAAAGGCTTAAAACTTTACCGAATAAAATAACGAGAGAATTTATTTAGAAAAAAAAAAAAGACAAAATCGTACAAAATGTAACTTGTACTTTGCCAGGGTAAAGAAAAGAAAAGGAAATGAATCATGGAGAACGATAGTAAAACTTCCTCTTCCAAAACATAACAATGTTATTGTTATGATTTAGAATTGTTGACGTTCTGAAAACCATCCTTATCCCTCATAGTTAAAACCCTACACAAAATAATAGCACAACAAACAACAGTATTGTTTAAATTGTTGTTTAATAGGCGAGCGTTTCTCCACGAGAAATTCTTGTTGAAAATGGAGATCAGCCACGAATTCCCGAGGCTCACGAGGTATCTCAGGACTTTTACAGACCTCGAACCTCGAAACCGAGTAGATTTCATCTCAAGGTACAACGGTTTTACAGGCGATACCGAAAAAACGTGAGTTTTCAAGATTTTTGGGTACAAAACATTAATATTTTAAGTACATAAAACTCTATTACAGATGTTTTGATGAATTTAATAACAACAATTACATAATAATATGTAATTATATATTGTAATTATTAATTAATAATAACAATTATTTTTTGATTATCTTATTATTAAATTCAAACATAAATAAACTGATTTAGTTGAAAATCGTAAAATTATAGAATTCCACCATTTTTAAAAAGAACGTTTTTCACTATTTTTATGAAATTCTGATACACTCACGTAAATAATAGATAGTTAAGATAATATAGATAATAAAGACAATTGTTACAATGTATAAAACGGTGGACATCAAACTATGTTTAATAAAAACAGCTCCAGCAACACCAGAGTAGGTGATTTGACTGAAGTGAAGATATTTAAAACAAAACAATATTTTTAATACATTTTTCCATGAACTATTTTTCGTCTAATTAATCATTATTTAATTAATTTGTACCAATAATTAGTTGCCGAGTTACTGTGTTTCATAAAAGTTAATGAATGTTCATTTGTGAGAGCATGGAATAAGACTCATTAAAATTTAATTAATTAATTAATTTATTTACTGATCGAAATCCACTATAAAAAAGACATTTTACAATAACAAAAAATATAAATAATATATGTAAAAATACAAATAATATATATAAAAAGAATAAGGACGTATATACATGGTAATAATATAAATGGTAAATATAAATGATAAATATAAAAATACAATTAAAGAGTAAAAACTGAACAACAAAAATGAAAGACATAATTACTAACCAAATAAGGCAGAGGAAACAAAATAAAGCTGAAAGACAATTGAAACTACAATAATTAGGTACATATTTAATGAAAATAATGCTCTTTGTAAATATATAATAAGACTAGAGTGCGAGAATTAGTTGAACCAGTAAATGAAATAAATTGTAATAATTTTGTACAGTATGAAATATAAAAGCATTCAACTAAGGTTGTAGGATAAGGTTTTTCACAGATTGCACAGAACTATTGAAGAAGTCAATGCTATTGCAGATGTTGTTACTCTTGATCATCATTCTGTGTAGAGGAGAAGAGAGCATGTAGTTAGAGCTTTGGAATTCAATATAAAATAATTTATAGGTTTTAAGAGAGTACGAAGGGACATGTAGCTGTAGTTGAGAGAGGAGATAAGGACTATCAATGAGATTGTTTAATAATTTAAATACAAAAACAATATCAAAGTAATCCCTTCTTAGTGCCAGTTCGAAAAGTTTAAATTCAGAGCGGATTCCAGGGTAGGCAGAATTCGGAGGAAGATTGAGTTTGTAGGAAAGTTTTTTTAAAAATTTGTTTTGTACAGATTGAAGAATTTTTTGATAATTTAGATAGAATGGGTTCCAAACAGGTGTAGCATATTCTAGTATGGGTTGTACAAAAGCTTTATAAAGATGGACAAAACATAGAGGATTTTTAAATTCATAGGTGTTCCGGATGATGAAACCTAGCATCTTCATAGATCTATTTTTTATTGAAGAAATATGTTCTTTAAACTTGAGCTTTTGATCAAAAAGTACACCAAGATCCTTTACGACCTCAACTCGCGTTAAAAGAGCATCATGGAGAGTATAGAGATAAATAAAAAGTTGTTTCCTATGAGAGAATGTAATTGTGTAGCATTTGGAAACATTAAGAGCAAGTTTGTTATTAGAACACCAGGTTAGCACATTATTGATAGAATTTTGTAATTGTAAACAATCAGAAGGAGAAGTGATTATAGAATAGATTTTCAGATCATCAGCAAATAATAAAAATTGAGCAGAAGGAAGAGCAAGATGGATATCATTAATAAATAAGAGAAACAAAACTGGCCCAAGATGAGACCCTTGTGGGACTCCCGAGGAAGCCGCAAAGGGATATGATTTAAATGATTTTATTTTGACTATTTGTTTTCTGTCGGATAGAAAGCTGGATAACCAATTCAAGATATTGGGTTGTCCGGAAAATAATGCAGGATTTTGGTATTAAACAAAAAAAAAGAAACTAGTTACTTTAAAGCAATGTTCTTTAATCAAAATAATTTCCCATACTCTCAATACATTTCTCCCAACGTGTTGGTAACTTATTAATTCCGTCTGAGTAGAATTCAGAATTTTTAGAATTGATAAAGTCAATAAATGCATTTTCCAGTTCCGTTTGATTTTTGAATATTATGTGTTGTAAGTAGTGGTCCAGGTGTCTAAAAAAATGGTAGTCAGTAGGCGAGAGGTCCGGAGAGTAGGGTGGGTGAGGCAAAGTTTCATAGCCAAGCTCCAATAATTTTTGTGACGTTACACGTGACACATGTGGTCGAGCGTTGTCATGCAACAAAATGGGCCCTTTCCGATTGACCAAAGAGGGCTTCATTACTGCCAATTTCTGATGCATGGTATTAATTTGGTTACAGTATGATTCAGCATTGATGGTTTCGCCAGGATTTAAGAAGCTGTAGTGTATTAAACCAAATGAAGCCCACCATACCGTAACCATTACCTTTTTTTGATGAGTTGGGGGCTTTGGAAAATGTATTGGAGCTTCTCCTTTGTCGAGCCACTGTCCAGAACGTCTAGTGTTATCGTAGAGAATCCACTTTTCGTCACATGTAACAATTCTGGCCAGAAATGGGTCATTTTTGTTTCGACAAAGAAGTGATGCACAAACATCAAAGCGCTGATTTTTTGGCGATCGTTTAATGAGTGTGGAACCCAATTTTCGAGTTTTTTCACTTTTCCAATCGCCTTGAGGTGGTCAGCGACGGTCGTTTTACTGACTTTGAGTTGCTCTGCAAGTTCTCGAACAGTTGTTTTGGGGTTTTCTTCCACCACTGATCGCAGAACATCATCATTAAGAGAGGAAGGCCTTCCACGACCTTCTTCATCTTCAAGGCTGAAATCTCCCTCCCGAAATTTTTTAAACCACCTTTGCACAGTGCACTCATTAACACAACCCTCGCCCCAGACTTGGTTAATGTTTCTAGCCGTTTGGGCTCCGCTTCGGCCGAGTTTAAACTCGTAAAAGAAAATCGTACGAAATTCTCGCTTTGACATTATAAGGATGACTGAATTATTTCCAAGTAGCGGAATGCTACAGAGGTAAACAAACAATATCATTTGGAAGAGGATTAATAAGTGTTGACATTCATAAAAATGAGTAATCCTGTAAACGTAAACAGAATATTTTATATAGATTTTTTTTAATGAAAACTTAAAATCCTGCATTATTTTCCGGACAACCCAATAGTTCCGGTGAAACCATAATCCATTAGTTTCCTTAACAGTATTGTGTGATTTACTGTATCGAAAGCTTTAGAAAAATCAGTATACACTGAGTCTACTTGGTGTCCAGAGTTTATTGCATCTAAGATGTAATTTTGAAATGTGGGCAGGTTAGTAACAGTTGATCTATTAGAGCAGAAACCATGTTGCTGAGGTATAATAAAAGATTTAATGTCATTTTTAAGTTTATTACAAATAGAATCAAATATCTTGGAGATCATGGATTGAATAGATGTTGGTCTGTAATTGAAAACATTAGATCTATCATCAGCTTTATGTAGAGGAATGACAAAAGTGCTTTTCCAAGCATTGGGGAAAATACCTGTTTTTAACGACTGGTTCAGAATATAGTGTAAAGGAGCAATAAGAGCCGCAGAACACTTTTTAACTAATATAGGGGGTATGCAATCGGGACCAGAAGACTTTTTCACGTTGAGTAATGAGATAGAATTTAGTATTTCATTGTGTGAGATATAGTAATTAGAGATAGTGTGAGAAGATGGCATAAGGAGAGAGGTTGTTTCAGATAGGGAAGTGGGAAGATCAGAACTATGGTCATAGACTTGGGAGAAATATTTAGCAAAGAGATTAGCAATGTCATTGCCATTAGATGAAGATTCATTTCCTAAACGCATGAAAGAGGGCATGACCTTAGAAGTGTTGACAGAATTCACATAATTCCAAAACTTTTTAGTATTAGATTGGATTGAGTTTTCTGTATCAAAAAGATAATTCTTATAGCAAATATTCGACAGGGTTTTACATTGGACTCTAAGAGATGAAAATTTTGAATAATAATAATAATTATCAAGAGTTTGGTTGTACAGTGAATGTTACATCTTTTTTTGCTTGACTTTTTCAATAACATGTCATTTATATATCATTATATCATCAATAATAATAATTTGTTGTTAATTGACATAAAATCAATGAAAGATAAACTTAATAGAGTATAATATGAACAAATTTTGTCAGAAAATCCATTTTCTATAATTTATTTAATTTTTCAGCCTGGAGTCAGACTGGATAAAATTGGTTAATGTTATTGAAGCAAATAAATGTCTAAATGAAAGTGTTTCTCAAAAGCTTAATTTTTTCAAAGAGGCTGTAAAACAGATAACAGGTGAATTTGAGGTGAATTCAATCATACTAAATTTCAATTATACTGTTAATAAATTTTTTTCTAGGAAATAAAGGTTACGCTTTTGACCCTCAGTTTTTTATGTTCAGCTTGTTTCTTTACAATGAACAAGCATTGAAGAAATTGGCAGTATCGCTGAAGAATGTTTTTGAAAATGTCACACTTCGAAAAATGAAGGAATTAAACATGGCAAGTGTCGAATAAATTCCACGAAAATTTCACGTATATGTTATCTAAAACTTGTTCCCTTCCAGATGGTGCGAGACCTGTACTGCGCATTGTCGCCCGACTGTCAGAAAGAAGTGAACAAACTTTTGAAGGAAAGTTCTGACATAAATTTCCATAACGGAGGGAAGATTATCTATAATGTAAGTTGGGTTAAACCGGACATAAGTTTCCTGGAAAATTTGGCTCAGGAAACTTTTATAGATAAATTTTCAATGAAGCTTCCGGTGGCAGAGACAATTGATCCAAAGGTTTTCATTTTTCATTTAATCTCAAATTGCAATATTTTTGATTGTATGTTCTGTCCAATTGATGAAGGTTGACATTTTTTGGCTTGTAAATGAACTGAAGACTCGCTGCTCATCCCTATTTAAAGACACGTTTACCATGGCTGATTGTGTTTCCCTCATCGTCTTGAAATTAGCCTCTATTGACAATTCAACTATTCTACAGAAAGACGTAAGATATAAAACAACACATAATATTAAAAAATAATAATTAGTCTTTGGCCTGTATTTTAAGTAAAATTGTTCTTTTTTTTCTTGATTACTGGATTCAGTTAAGGAAAAAAAAACTGGATATAATGTAACCATTTAATTGTGTTTATTATACACTTAAGTAATAAATTACAACTCTCTCAGATTTCACTATTTTTGGGATTGTTTCCAGCCAGAGTTGTAAAAGTAATAATGAGATGATTTACTTGAAGAAAAAAAAATTTTGTTTTCTTACAGCATATTTAATTTAATTTTACAATGAATGAGATAATTGAAATTTCAACGCCAGCGACAAAACATTAAAGGGCACTAATATAAAATAAGTCATTTGGTTGTTTTTTAGTTAGAGGAGCTGTTGGGAATTAAAAATGCCGCTTTGGTAGAGATGATTATCCAGCGAAAGCATGTTTTTTTAAAAGATGACATTCTTCTTGGTGCCAGGCAGTATAGATCACAAAGAATGGGTATTCAACATCACATTTGATGTCAAAGAATTTTTTACTGTAATTTATTTGTCTTCAACTTTGAGAAAGAGGCTCAGGCAGCTTATACGATTTTAATCAAAACTCAACATTTTGGTTTTTTTAATCATTAAACTGTTTTGTCATTCTTTTTATTCACAAAATATATAAATAAAACATTTTTTTAGTCTAATTGATGTTAGTAAATGATAATACCATTAACTTTTTTTATCATGAAATATCTTTAATTTTTATTTGTCTGTGAAATTATCAGCTTTTTTTACCTCATTCTTTATTTTCAATTAAACATTAGTTGTTTACAGTTAATGCACATGAAGATAAACCTTTCTCCCTCACTGATGAAGTGGAGATTATACGTTTAAAATCTACCGACAAAACAGATCAAAAGACTCTGAAAAATGACAACAAAGAAAAATGTCAGGCACAGAGTGAAAGAAAGGAAATTCAGAAAATGTAATTAAAACTAAAATATTTTAATTGAACCTTTTATTCGCAATTTTAATTTTTCCAGGACAAAGGGCAACAAATCTTGCTTATCAAATAGTAATTAATTTTACAATTTAGTTATAGCTCTTTACATTTTTTTTTTTTCAATTGTTGATCATTTTTAGTTCCTGAGTCAATAAGTAGAAACATAACTGAGGTCGGAGAGAGTGTGATTATTAGAAATCCGCTTTTTAACCCTTGCACGTTTCATACAAATTTTGACTTGGTAATATTTTATTACATTGCTTTTATAAAATCTTAAACATAATTTTTAATGAAATATTTGCTAGAATGCTAACAATGGGACGGTTGAACAAAAAGAAAAAGAGACTGAAGTAAAAAACGCAAAAACTAAAAGAAAACAGAAGAAATCCGTAAAAGCCCAAGAAATAGTTTCGAAAAACACATCAGATGGGACAAAAGTGAATAATACAGCTGATGAGTTTGCAGTTTTTGGAGAAACTCTGGCTAATTTTTTGAGATCACAAAAGAACAAAAATAAAGTAGATTACATCAAGGGAAAAATTGCTGAACTTATTTTGGAAACATTTTAGATTGTGTGGAAAAACATGCTGATTTACTATGATTTTTCTTATTTATAAATTAGTTTTTTTGAAAAATATTTATACATCCGTGTTCGTATCTGTTGATTTAATTTTTTCACATTGTTATTAACTCCTGCATATGTAAACATATTTGACAAAGAGATGATCTTGGCTGATTAACATTTTTATATGCTTTGTGAAAAAATAAAAAATAAAAATAATATAATAATGATAATAAAGATAATAATATAACAACAGCAATAATAATAAAATAATTTATTAACAAGTACGAGTACAATATTATACATCCCTTTTTTTTATTTCATATGCTAGATTTGCTCATAGTCATTCTGAGTTCGTCTGAGGGGTTGTCTTAAAGAAAAACCAACATCTTGATAGAAACAAATGAAAATAAAATTAATAATGTAATGCAAATAGAAATAGGCTAAAATTAAAATCAATTATAAAAAAAATTGATTTTGCTACTTATAAAGACTTAGATCTAAGTACACAAAATATTAATCTAAAATTACATTACAGACTTTTTTATAAAATAGCCATTAACAAATATTTATTTAGATATAGGGTACACTTTTAGAAGTTAGATTCAATTACTAAGTTGCCCTGCGTTCTTACAGTATTTAACTAAACAACCAAAATTCCTCCCCCCCACTCGAATACTCCAGTAACTATTTTCTGGAACACAATCAGAAAGATCAAAGGGCACAGCATCTACCCTCCAGTATCTTGCCTTAAAATCAATAATGACTTTGTAACAGATCCAAAACAAATCTCAGACAAACTTGGACAACATCAATACGAGATCTCATCAACAGCAAATTACACCTCCAGTTTTAGAGCAATTAAAATAAAAACCGAGAGGAAGCC